AAATAGTCTTACAATCCTCCAATAAAGATCCTAGGTAAGAGCGAACCTGGAAACTTCCATCTCGAAGTGCTTCCACTACGCTGCTGCAATCAGATAGGAGCTCCACGTCTTGGATTCCATTTTCCTTCACCCAAATAAGTGCCTCTCGACAAGCCATTGCCTCTGCCAACACCGGGTCTGGGACACACTGTATCCATCCGTTCACAGCTGCATGAAAGGATCCAACCCCATTTAGGATAACACTTCCAAAAGACACCACCCCGGAAGAAGGAAAAATGGCTGCATCCACAAAACATCGAAAAACATCTTGCCCTGAACCCGAGCTATTCTGCCTCACCTCAGTCCTTCCGCCTTGAGAGGATCTGCCAGCCCCATCACGAACAGTTTCTCTAGCCCAACTTACCACGATTTTTGGCAAAGGAACTTTGTGTTCCCACACCGCCTTGTTACGAGCTTTCCAAATTGCCCAAATTGCCCCAGCCACTACTTTAAGTTCATTGACCGAAAGAGTTGCAAACTGACCTTCCATCCAATCTGCTAAGCCCAATGTTGAAGGTAAATGATTGGTCCATCCCAAAGCATTCCAAGTAGCAACTGCCAGAGGACATTGGAGGAAAATGTGGGATAAAGATTCAACAGTAGCGCCACAGATTTCACAGTCAGCATTCACCTCCACACCCTTTGTTAACAAAGTTGTTTTCACTGGTAAAATATCTCTTAAAGCTCGCCATAAACATACCTTAATTTTTGGAGCAGTAGGAATCTTCCAAATCTGTCCCAAACGTGTGAAACCAGGGGCTGCCGTAGCCACTCCAGTCAATCGACGATAGGCGTTCTTAACAGTGTACACCCCTTGTTTCTCGCCAGCCCAATACCAAATATCTTCATTGCTCAATTTAAGAGGCACACGAATAATAAGATCAACATCTCTTGGACAAAGTAGACTCTTTAAGGCCTCCAAATTCCAGCCACCTGCATGATGATCCAAGAAGAAACACACAGGAAGATTAGGCATATAAAGGGGGCGTTCTGTGGAAATACATGGGTTGCTTTCATCCGGTAGCCAAGGGTCACCCCACACAAGCGTATTTCGACCGTTCCCAACCCGCTTCCTCACTCCATCCCGAATCAGATTTTGAGCTTCAAGTAAACTCCTCCAACAGTAGCTCGGGGTACTTCCCAAAGTAGCTTCCAAGAATGTTGATTTGGGATAGTATCGAGCTTTGAAAACTTTGGACACCAAGGAATCTGGATTCGTTAAGAAGCGCCAACCTTGTTTGCCCAACATTGCAATGTTAAATTGCCGAACCTCTTTAAAACCCAAACCTCCAAATTTCTTCGGCGTAGAGAGCCGATGCCAGGACATCCAATGAATACCACATGAACTAATTCCTTTTCCCCCCCACCAGAAGGAATTCAAAAGCCGCTCTATTCGTTGACAAGTTGAGCGGGGAAGACGAAATATGCTCATTGCATATTGAGGCATTGCCTGGGCCACCGTCTTTAGTAATATTTCCTTCCCCGCTTTAGACAAAAGTTTCTTGCCCCAGCCCCCTATCCGGTGACGAATCTTATCTTCAATATAGGAAAGTACCCCAACTTTATTCCTGCCCAAAAAGGAGGGCAACCCCAAATACTTACCAAAATTATCCATCTGGAGCACTCCGAAAAAAGAAGTAAGAGAATCTCGAACCTCTGCCGAAGTGTTCATACTGAAACAAATGCTTGACTTATTGAAAATAACCATTTGCCCCGAAATGCGCTCATATTCAGCGAGGCGTCGTTTCACTTCACCCGCCTCTCCCTCCGAAGCCTTGAAGAATAACAGGCTATCATCTGCAAACAATAAATGAGTAATTGCTGGAGCACCCCTTGCCACCCGTATGCCATGGATCAAGCCTCTATGTTCAGCATCCTGCAACATCAAAGAGAGACCCTCTGTACACAAAATGAATAGGTAAGGACTAAGTGGATCCCCCTGACGGAGACCCCTTGTGGGCACAATAGGATCTGTAAGAGTGCCATTAACAAGCACTCGATATCGGACAGAGGTCACGCACAGTAAAACAAGCTCAATAAAACGTCTGTCAAACCCCAATCTTTCCATCATATTTCGAAGGAATCCCCATTCCATCCGATCGTAGGCCTTAGCCATATCAAGCTTGAGGCCTACCCACCCCATTACACCAGATTGCTTTCTCCGCAAATAGTGACCCAATTCTGCAGCAAGTAAGATATTGTCTGAAATAAGTCTTCCTGGGAGGAACGCCGAGTGAGTATTAGAAATAATATGTTGCAGCAAGGGCTTTAGTCGATTTGCCACCATCTTGGCCACGATCTTATAAGTAATGTTGCACAAAGCAATAGGCCTTAAGTCTGCGACAGTCTCAGGAGTCTCTTTCTTTGGGATCAACACCAACGTAGCGTCATTCATTCCATTTGGAAAAGAACACTGGTTTATGCAATTAAGGACAAACTTCGTGACATCAGGCCCCACAATCTCCCAACATTTTTGAAAAAAACCAGGATTCATGCCATCCGGTCCGGGCGATTTGTCAGGATGCATGACAAAAAGAGCTTCCTTAACTTCTTTTTCTCCGAATGGACAAAGCAAACTAGCATTCTGCTCCACTGTGATACGCGGTAGAATGGACTCAAAAAAAGTGGAATTAGCCACCCCATTAGTCTGAAAGAGATCCTCCTAGAACTTTGTCACCAACTGAACCATATCAGCGCCCTCACACCAATTCCCATCCGGAGCCATAAGTCCATGAATGTGATTTTTCTTCCTGCGATAAGAGGCATATTGATGGAAAAACCGAGTGTTTCTGTCTGCCGCATAAAGTCAGTGCTGCTTCGCCCGTTGTCGCCAGTACACATCTTCCTGATCAAGCAACGTGGAGAGCTCTGCATCTGCTTTACTAAGCAAACGACGTCCCTCTTCATCCCGACGCCCACGTACCTTCTGGATTAAGTCACGCAACTCTTTAGTTCGCTTGCCAAATTTCTGAAATTTATCGCCTCCCCACTGAAGAAACCTTCGACCACAGAAATCCAGTCTCTCAGAAAAAGGCTTCTCACTAGATTCCCCCCATGCAGATATAAGAACCTCCTTAAAGCCCTCATCCTTAAGCCATGCATTTTCAAATCGGAAACGACGCTCACGACTATGAAGTGTCGGCCCTGCAAGGCTCAGAAACAAAGTCGAATGGTCTGAACGATGCATGTGTTGGTTGAAAACACAAGCTCTGTCAAACAACTCCTTCCAAGAGCCCGAGGCCACTGCTCTGTCAAGACGTTCCTCTATCCAGTTAGGAGAGCCCCTGCCCCTCTCCCATGTGAAGGGGTAACCCCTCATGCCCAAATCAAATAAGCCACAATCAGAGAGAATTGTGTTAAAGCCTGAAATGAGCGCGTGAGGATGAGGATTGCCTCCTTTCTTTTCTCTTGTAGCACACAAATCATTAAAATCACCCACAACAACCCATGGCAATTGCGACTTATGCTTAAGGGACTGTAGCAGATCCCATGATGCCTGTCTCCCATCCCTCCGGGGGTTCCCATAAAAACCAGTAAGTCTCCACACTGGCAGGTTCCTTAAAGAAACAGCAATGTCCACGTGAAATCGGGAATAACTAATCAAATTTGCAGAATTCTTTTCCTTCCAAAGCAGTGCAAGCCCACCACTCAAACCCACACTATCCACATAAAAAAGGCCCTCAAACCCCAGCTTCAACCGCAACTCTTCTGCCTTACTCCTCGCACATTTCGTTTCCATAAGAAAAATAAACTCGGGCTTTTTGACGGATGCAAGCTCCGCCACTTCTTGAACTGTCCGTCGGTTGCCCAACCCACGGCAGTTCCAACTGATAAGACTCATTGCTCCTGGCGGGCCTGGAAACCAGAGCCCGCCCCACACAAGTTTTTTGAGCTATCGAAAGACATACTATCATTTACAGAAAAGCTGGCTTCCAAATCATTACCTCTTTTGCGTTTAGTCACCAAGGCAAATGCTAAGTCTTCATCCTGCTTGGATCCTTCCCCATCTGATCGTGCATCAACGAGCCGTCTCACTTCAATCGGTTCTACGTGTCTAATCCATGGCTCTCCAATAGTTAACAGTGGCTTCCTACCTCCTGCCTTAAGTGACTCATCATATGGATAATTCTCTGGCTCCAATGAAGAAAGGAGCGCCATCCGACAGTGCTTCGACAGATGACCAAGGATACCACAATAATAACAAAATACAGTAATCCTCTCATATTTGAAAAGGACCCACACTATAGAGCCATCTCTCTTGGTTAACTTCATCCTTCGCTTCAACGGTTTATGAACGTCAATAGCCACACGCACTCGAAAGAATCCTTGGTATGCTTTTGAAACATTAGCAACATCAATCCTGCGAAATTAGCCCAAAAACTTACCCACCGCCTCAAGGACTGTCGGAGACGTATACCCAGGAGGAAGATCATGCACCTGAACCCATAGCTCCAGCAAATAAAGATCTGCCGCCTTAATCGTCTCCCCAGGTTCCACAAGTCGGCAAAGCAGCATATTGTTCTCAAATGACCATGGCCCCTCCTCAATGATGCGTTTTGCATCTTTCTCATGGTAGAAGTAAAACCAAAATAATCCACCCTCGCCCTGCCTGAATCGCACCCCCATAGCAGGCCTCCAAACCGAAGCAAGAACTTGTTGCATGATGTCAAATTTGATTGGTTTATTAGTGAGAAAGCGCCCTACCACTGTCCATGTGCGGAAATCGTCCACCGGAATTTGTAGACCACCTTCTAGGGCAAAAGAGAGACCTTCCTCTTCCTCCGATATTGCCAAATTGGTAATCGCAGCATCCAGACTATGCACACTCTGATCCTCCATGTCTGATGACGAATTCGAATTGCGAGAACAAGTATTTGGATGAGAATCGAAAATTAGATCCGGAAAAACACTCCAACCGTCGGGGAGAGAAAAACCCTAATCATAGGGAGAGAAAAACTTTTAAAAGGATGTGCTTTATTTTAGAAAGTTTACCATTAGCATATATAAAAAGGTGAAATCCCGCCTATCAGTTTAAGGTCTTGGGTTAGAATAGTGAATCCCGATTATACTTTATATGCAAGTGGTTTATTTTACCTGACATCACTCTACCCGTTGTTTTCGGGCACATGAATTCTAACATCATATATTCATAATTTCATAAAAGAATTTTTTTTTTCACTCTATTTTGTAAAATATTTTACCATTACGTTCAAGGATAAATATTCTAGTCACCATTCGTTTTAATACGTAAGTTGTATACTTGTATGTTAAAATTCCGACGGGCCGAGAACAACGGATAGAGTGTCGGGTAAAATTAACCACTTGCATATAAAGTAGGGATCCACAACTCTAACCCAAAAGCTTAAGCTGATAGGTAGGGCTTCACCCTTCAATATATGCAAGTGATACTCATCTTTATTTTCCGATGTGGGAACTCCAACATTGTAATTTTTATTTTTATACTATTTTTTTAAAACAGCTTAACAAAAAATAAGATTATTTAGGTTGTTTAAAGAATATAATTCATTTTGAGACGAAAGGAATAAAATAAAATACCATTCAGAAAATAGGGAATAAATCAAATCTAACAACTAGAAAAATAAATGCCGATTATATGCGAGACGGAGTATCTTTTGGTCTGGCTAACTACCTGCATGATGCAACACCGCACTTCCTATATACTCCGTATTTATATAATGCTCTCTTCACTCATTAATCACTATTATTACCTCTTGGTTCAACAATAATATTCTTCTCTATCATTCACTGAGTCAAAGTTTATTCATTTTATTGACATGTTTTTGTTGTTCATTTGGTAAAACAATATAAAAGCATTTGCACTAAATAACACTAAAACCCAAGTCATTTTTTTAAATAACACTTAAAATGTTTTCCTAAATATCACTTAATAATGTCTAGAAAATAGTGTCCAGTGATGGCAAATATTTACTTAAATAATGACTAATGGATAATGACTAAAAATGTTACATTGGGAAAAAAATACATATGACGCTATTTAGAGAAAGTCATTATGTTTAAGTGCTATGAAAGTAAATTTCTCTATAATTTAATCATGTCACCTCTAATTTTGTAAAACTTTGCATTTAGTTTTTAAATATGTACTCCGTAATTTTTATTTTTTAATTTCATACAATTTTTCAAACTAAAATGATTTCAAAATAATTAATTCAAATATCGTAATGCGCAACGAAAATATTATTAATGGACAGACAAAGTATTTCCATTTTTCATTCTTATGCCGTAGTTTTTAGGAATAGACATACACGGCCCACACACATGTGTTGAGACTTGACAAGTATGGTGTTGTTTTGTTGTACTCGGTATTACTACATTGATTACAGATTCTTTGTTTAATTTTATATTTTTATAGCAAATTAAAAATTGATAAAAATATTTTGTAAGTTTACTCTAATAAAATTATTCTTGTATCCATATTAATATAAATCTTTTACCTAATAATTTTATTAGATTCAAAGCCAGACCAAACCAAAATAAAATCGAGAAAATTGGAAGTTTAGAATCAATTATATTAATACATTTTTGACTACCTAGCTTGACTCAACCTCACTTTTATTTTCTTCTATTCATTGTTTGTGTTTCAAAAAATAATATCAATATATAAACATTAATCAACATAATAATACGTTTAAATTTTTTTTATAGTTTCGTTAGTTTGTCAGGTTTCACAAAGTATTGATAAATTTAAACATTAATATGAATTACATTTCTATATTACCTAGAATAAGTTGCATATAAAGTATCTAAGAATTTAAGCTCAAAATTATAACTGTATTAAAAGAGAAAAAAATAAAAGAACAAAAACGCATTTTGATCTTACGAGTCTGACCGGGAAATCATCTGATTTTGATCCGAAACTATAGGGGTCCTCAATTCTAAGACCGAGAACTCGTCCGGATTTTGTACACCCGAATTGCCTTCGGATATCCATATACATATGGGAGGGAGTATAATACGGAATTACATACTCCCTCCGTCCAGTTTTGACTTTTGGAACTGTTCATCTAAGCACTTTGACTCATCAAATTCTCTCAATGTGTAAGCCCAAATATAGTCATGTGTGATCTTGTTTGATTTTTCTTAACATATAGATTATTAATATATAATTTCTATAATTTTTTAATATACAAATTACAAGATAAAATGGATTAAAGAAGTGTATTGAATGATGTGTAAAAATGAAAGTGGACAAATACTCTGGGACAGAAGTAGTAGTATCTTTCTCTCATCCAACCAATTTAAAAATTTGCTATGTCTCCAGGGTACTCTCTATTTTTTTATAATAACTCTCAGCTAGGTTCCACATTATATGAAATTTACTTTGGGGTACCCTCAATTTTCTGAGAAAAACTTCGAGGTTCCACATTATCCAAAATTTATTCTGGGGTCCTTAAAATTTGTGATATTTTACTCCAAGGATACTTTCCGTTCATTTAGGCGTTAGAAGTGAATGCTCTTTGCTTTGTCAAATTGAAATATTTTATTTAAAGTTAACAAAATAATGACTATCAAGATAAAATTTTGTATTTATCAAAATAACAGAATTCTCGGTCCTAATAATGACCAAATAGACGCAATGTAAACTCAGAGCGCATTACATTGATTTTAAAGATACCTAGAGTATATTTTGAATAATGTAGGAACACAAAGTTTTTGCTTGAAAATAGGGGTGGGTTAGGTTTTGGCGGTTCGGTTTTCACCCAAAACCAAAAACAAAACTGGAGGCAAGTTAGCGGTTTGATTCAGTTCGATTTTGCACAAAAAAATATGTAAATCGTTGTTTATCGAATTCAGTTTATGCCGTTATTATTTTGTTTTTTTTTTTGGTTTTTTGGGTTTTTAAAAATAAAAATGTATAAGCATTAAAAAAATGTTATAACAACACTAACTCGATGAAGCAATAACAGTATGTACGGTTAGATTCAGTTTTTTCAGTTTGATTTTTATACAAAACCAAAAACCAAATGAAAGGTTAGAGTTTGGTTCAGTTTTACGTAAAAATGTGTCGAGTGTCAAACAACAATCTAGGAGATTCTAAATACTCCCAAAGTCTAAGAAAAGTTTTGCATATCACGTATACTCATATACATATAAAGCGAAGTACTTAAGAAAGTTCGATTTATTCGATTCTGTTCGATTTTCCAAAGTGAAAACCAAAACGGAAACCAAATAATGCCCCCTACTAACTTTTTGTAATAAGGTAAAAAAATTGAATTTTTTTACTCCGTATATATATATGCCTCCAACAGAAATTTATGTGATCCAATCTAATTAAGTTAAATTTGACCTTTTTGTTCAACTTTTTTTAATAAAGTGTATTTTATTGCACATAATTAATTATTTATGTAATAAAATTTTACATTACCTATTAACAAATGTTTTACATACAATAAATATTTGAAATAAAATTTAATATTTTTTTGTCATTTCATCTAGTCTATTTAGAAAAAATCCGGGGACGCTGCCCTCAGACCCCCAATCTATGCTACCCCTCATCTACCTAAGTTCCTCGAATTGCCACTGTTTCAATTAATTTGTAGTTTTTGATTTTCACAACCCAACTTTAGCCCTACTAGAAAATTGCTAATACCACTGAGGGTATGTTTGGTGAACAAACAAAATATGGATTTTGATATCTCAAGATATCAAATTTTTTTTAGGTGTTTGGTGAAACAAAAAAAGATATCGAATTCGATATCTTCAGACATCATAAATCCTTCAAATAGAGGGTTTCGATATCTCTCCAACTTGGGAGATATCAGTATGGTAGTTTGATATCTCTCTCAACCATTAATCATTCTCCGTCACCGGCTACCATTGTCACCACCAACTACCCCCATTGCTGGTCACCAACGTTTATTACTAATTATATCATGATTTTAAATCTCTTCAAACAAATTCGTTTTAGATTTCAAAATCCTTATCAGTTCTCTAAGATTTCAAAATTTGTTCTCTTAGATATTTCTCTGAAGGCCCGTTTGGTACACGGAATTCAAATTATGGAATTGTAATTGAATACTTCAAATCCAATTCTGGTGTTTAGTAGTACAAAAATTATGTGGATTTAGAATTGATAGTGTAAAAAATGAATTTGAATTGGTAGAATTCAATTCTATGGAATTGAATCCAATGGAATTTCAATTCCAATTCAATTCCAATTCCTTCAATTCCGAATACCAAACTGACCCTGAAACCCAACAGACGCCCACCTAATGTTTTTCATTTCTTGTTCTCAACTTGATCTCAGTCTAGACTCGTCTACGCTCTGCAGGCTCACTTCGTCTCCCCTCGCTCTGCGCCGAGCGGTGACCGTCGATCCATCCCAGCCCAGCTCAGCTCATCCTCGATCGACGTACGCTGATCTACAGGTAAGATTTGTTTCTTTTTTCTCTCTCCCTTTTTAATTTCTCATGCCTTAGGTTAGTTTTTTTGGTCACTCCAATTTGAAGAAATAGCAAGACGCTAAATTAAATTCATCCAAAGGATGTATTATGGAATCAATTTGTGCCGATTACTTTCCATTTATTTAGTTTCATTAATCATCCGTTCAAATAACATGATCATGTCTGTTTTATAGAGCATTTGATAGTAGTTTTTGAATATACCTTATATAAATTCAATTTTAAAATTTTGTTCCATTTCTTAAACTAATTGAATTGAAAATGAGTGGAGTCAAATATCACAATCCGTTTTGTGACTTTAGTTATAGGAGGGAATGAGTAAGTGACATCTAGAATTGTATCAAATCATGTGATATGCTTCACAAACCGTTCGTTATTAACACCTTTGGCTGTGCTAATATTATAGAAATGGAATTAAACAAGGGAAGTGCATCAATGATTGCTTCATAACATTTTCATGGATGTTGTTGGGATAATTTAAATGTTACACCGCATGATTACATAAGTTAGGTGCCTGGTAATGACATACTGCACAGTTTAATTATTTTAATGTGATGTGATTTGCATGTTTTATGATTTACTATTTTACATTATAAAATCTTTCCAGAGCCTATAACCAAAAAATTAAGCTTTTGGTTGAATTGATTTCTTGACAATTGACATGGTATCGTAGCCTTGTTTTGAAAAATGTTAACGCGGGCTCAAGCGAAAAAAAATCACATGCACACGAGAGGGTGTGTTAAAGTATAAGACCTTTTCCGGGCCTACAACCATAAGTTTGACCTTTTGGTTTTGTTGGTTCTTTGGCATTCTTATTCTTTTCGTTTTAGTGTTCTTGAATGTAGATTAAACTAATGGGTGCCTATTTTTGTTTTCAGCTGGAGGAAAACTGGATTAACTAGCACGAGAAAGTGAAATATGGTAAGAAGAGTCTGATGATATGCAGTTAAATTATCCCTTCAGTCATAATTAGATACTGATATTCTCAATTTATTGGCTTTTCAGTCTGCCCTGTTCAATTTTCATTCTTTTCTCACAGTAGTGCTCTTAGGAATCTGTGCATGCACATATCTGAAGATGCAGTTTCCAGCAATTCTTGAGCAGCGAACTGGGTAAGCCTTCTTGCATTTAGGTTCTTGATAATGAAATCGAGATTGTCAAGCTGTGAGGTTCTTGTTATATGCTTTGTGTTTGTGTATCCGAAAGTCCCATCTCCCTTATGTGTGCTACAATTTTACCCCAACCCAGTTTCTTAGATTTGTACAACAACAACCACAACAACAAACCGAGTAGAATCCCACAAAAGTAGGTTCCGGGTACCTCTACTTGACAACAGAAAGGATGTTTTTTAGATTTGTACTAATGACAAATGGAATATAACAGGTTTCGTGGATTCTTCTGGAAGGCAGCTAGGATAGGTAAGATTGTACTACCTCTTTTCTGGTTCCGTTCTTAAAAGAATTGTCAACATAAAATTTCTTAAAACATTTAGTGTGTGCAACTGTGCATCCATCAAGTTATAAGAATTTTCACTTCAGGTCCTGCAACTATTACCCCAACCCTGTTTCTTAGATTTGTAATAATGACAAATAAAATGTCAACATTCACTCGTTTCCACTTTTGGTGCATGACTGAATTCCTTGCCACTTTTGGTCTTTTCCACTACACATCCAACCACTTTACGTACAATTTCTGGTTTACCTTTATGTTAGTAACCGGAAACGACCAGAAGTGTCAAGATAATCCATAATTGTGCAACAAAATCACATAAAAGGAAACCAAAGACCTAACATGGGAATGGGCTAATAGTTGTGGGATCAGAAGCTGAGAATCTCTGTTTGGTCGCATTTGATTATTAGCTTTTTTTATATGCTTTCGTAGCATGTTTCTGTGTTTAATTTGTTTGCTGGCAAGCCTAAACAATTTCATACAAATGGCAATCCCAATCATTGCTTTTTCCATAATGGACAAAGTGTAGGAGTTCATGCTCTCTGATTTGAAGAAATGCTAATTGTCCCCTCCAATCTATTTCGTTCTTTCGTAAATAATCACTGATTGGGGTTCTATTCTTACTACTATATGGGATGACAGGTGAACGCTTGAGCCCTTGGGTTGCAGTGGGATGCTTGACAATGGGCGTTTCGATCTTCTTCTGAGACACTGTTATACTCTCTGGAACTTTTTGTTATGAAAGTGTTTCCGTGTTGCCAAAAGTTTGATACTGCGGAGTTCAGATAATCAACCAATGTCCAAAGTCCAATCTATTCAGTTTTCTTACTGGATTGGTTCTGATTGCGTCCGAGGCTAACTTCTGGCCGGTAAATCACTCCCATAAATCAGGATTCTTTTTCAGCTAGACGTTGCTAATTCAAATCTTTATTATCAAGAAAGTTATTGTTTGTTTTTCTTGAGTGTTATTTGACTCGATTGCAATGTAGTATTTGTTCATATTATTCTCAATCTAATAACGTAGAATAAGCCAATGCATCTGCCTCCGCTGAGACTCGAATCTGAAAAGGTGTTAAGAATTGAATAAAGTGCCCCCCACCCCCATGGGCTATGGGAGGATACTAATTTTGAGATTTCATAATCGAATTGACATCAATTATGGAGAGTTTGATTGATGTTCCTTGTGTTCTCGAACATTATGCATTTTTAAAGAATTACACTAATAGTATGTTTTGTTCAAAAACATTGAAAGGGAAAAAGAAAAGAAAAATGATATGGAAAATAATTTTTTTCTTGTTTGGTTAGAGAGGAAAAGAAAAAATAAGTGGAAAGAAAAGAACATTAGAAGACAAAATATACTAAGAAGAGATAAAACAAAATTTCTTTAATTTTGGCGAGAAAAATGAGAGAAAAATTATTTTTCTTTTCTTTTCTTTTTCGAATTCTTTCAAACAAATATAGTTTTTTAAGGGAATAGAAAAGGAAATGAAAAGAAAAATGGTTGAAAGGAAAATTAATTTTTTTCTTTGGTTAGAGAAGAAAGAAAAGAAAAATGGGAAAAAAATGAGAAAAAATGGACTAAGCAAAGAAACAAAATTTCTCTTATTTTTGTAAGAAAATGAGAAAAATCATTTTTTTCTAATTCTTTCAACAAAACATAGTGTAAAATATCAACATTTATTGGGGGCGAGGGAGGGTTTGTATGAGAACCACCCTTTAGATGTACCAAATTAGAGCACGAGCAGTGACGAGGCTTTCTCATGCCCCAGCCTGCCACCTCAGCTTTCTTTATACTGTACTTCGTGTGTTAAATGAAATATTACATACCTTGCAAGCCATGTGCGAGTTAATGGAAGCCATTTTTTTCTTTTTTTCATTTTTCTTTTTCTTTTTTTGCATTCATCTCTTAATCCCAAACTATTTGTTCTTTTGAATAATGTGATATTATCTTTTTTTGAATTAATTTTATATATAGAATGAGTAAGAAAATAAAAATTATAAATTACATCGTATTTAAAAATTATATCAAAAATTTTAGAAAATAAGTAGCGATAATAATAATTTATTTTATTAAATATACCGTGAAACGGAAAGCACAAAAAATGTCATTGAAAATCTAAAATAGTAACTACGTCTCTTTGGGAATAGAGAGAGTATAAACAAGTAGAGTTGTTTTTTTAAAAATATAATTAAAATAAATTTTAATAATTAAATACATAAAAATGTTAACAAGTGACAAAGATAATGTTTTGCCATTGTAATACATGCTCCATCACCTTCTTATCACATGATTAGTGGACTGTTTTTTATTTGTTGAAATATTACATACCAACGTATGATATGATCTGATCTAATTACAATTATAATTAGAGTTATTTTTGATCTAATATGGTTTAGTCTTATGTTATTATAATAAAAATAAGTACTCCCTCCGTCCCAGAGTATTTGTCCACTTTCATTTTTACACACCATCCAATGCACTTCTTTAATCCATTTTATCTTGTAATTTGTATATTAAAAAATTATAGAAATTATATATTAATAATCTATATGTTAAGACAAATCAAACAAGATCACACATGACTATATTTAGGCTTACACATTGAGAGAATTTGATGAGTCAAAGTGCTTAGATGAACAGTTCCAAAAGTCAAAAGTGGACAAAAATTGGGGGACGGACGGAGTAATAAGGTGAGAAAATGAATGGAAGAGTCTGCCATCTTTATTGACTACTGCACTGGGCACACGGACAAACGACGGAGGAGGCCCGATCGGCGACTACCTACCACCGAACGATAATGGTGAACGAGGACTGTGATCCTTAACCTTATTCCAGGTTTGTTGATTCTTAATTTTGTCTTATGATGTGAATATCAGACCCTAATTAGAGTTAGATTTAGCAAATCTGATTATGATATTTGAGTATGTATATTATGTTAAATTTAGTTCGGGTAGCTTGTTATTTTGATGAAGTTAAGATTTTTATTGAAACATCATTATACAAGTTCAAAAATCGAACTTCCTTGGAGCTCCTGCGCCATAGAAAAGTATTTTCTGGTCAACAGAAAAAAACACAATT